CTGGTAAGGTTCACCGGGACGAGTGTTTTCTGTTCGAGAGGGACCCGGTCGTGATGACCCCGGCTTCTTGAGGAAGCCGAGAATGGAGCTTTGTTCCATGATTGTTGGAAGGTGAGAGATGAGGGCAAGAACTACCACCAGCGTTGTCTAAGTAGAAAGCCGCCGCTGTCCCAATGTACTTCCAGGTGAATGTCGTTTGCACCGCTACTCCTTTGGCGTGGAGTGCTGGGTACCGGATAGTGGACGCTTTGAATGATCCGAGGCTCTCACGTTGATACCGTGAAGGTAAGAACTAGATATACACCAGAACTTGGACCGAGTAAGAGGGATGCTAACAACGGACAGCGCAAGCCACTGGACCAGGCAGCAGCAGGCAAGGGAAGCGTAAACTGGCTAGGCCTATTTGGGAGTGTAAATCAACATGGGAGATGACGACCACGAAACGAACAAACCAAATACCGCGATAGAGGTGCACCTGCATACGACCATGGCAATGACAGCAGGAGTCGGACCGCAACGCACATCTGCGTGCAGTGGTGCGGGCCAGGCTGTCTTTCAGCCCTACAGCGGGCCAGTGCATCTGCCCCACATTCGCGTAACCGGCGATCATGTGCGATTTGCTTGCTGTTGCTCTTCCACACAACAACAATACCGTTGTAGACTCCACCAACATCCTTTACCTGCAGTCCCCGATGTAATTCTGGCACCCTGATCATCGGCGACATGCCTACGCAACTGGCGCACCCATCCCCGAAGCGAAAGCGCGATCAACACCCGCCTGTCCCTCTGCTCAACACGGCCCTCGCCCTGCGTCCCGCATCAGCACCGCCACGAAGCAGCCCCGCGCCCTCATCAGGTCCTGATAGCCCACGAAATGTAGTCGCAGATCAGCTGCGAGGTATGAACCTCGCTGCACTCGCGGCAATACCCATGTCCCCGCTCACGCCAACCGACGATGTGATACGCAAGAAGCCGAAGCTCGATGCCATGAGGGTAGACAGTGGAACTGCATCAGATACATATACCATACGCGAGAAATTCAACAGCTATACAAACGGGGAAGACTTGGATACTGTCGCTGTGACGACTGAGCTGGACCTCTCTCGGGTGATACCAGAGACCCCTCAGGCGTCGCAACCCCGCTTGTTGCCAGATATCGCTTCTTTTGCCCAACACACCAGCTTCGTCTCATCGCCTATATCCACGACCCTGCAGTCGCATGCAGCTGCAAAGCAGAAGTCGCGCGCGCAAAACCCCTCTTCTTCGCAACCCCGCCCTCGGGCTAGATCGCCGTCGCCCTCAATGTCGGCTCTCACGTGGCGAGATAGCGAGATCACGGGACACTTGGTCGATCCTTCGACTGACCCAGATGATGACGGTACTGGACTCAACGGGATTGGCTTCAAGCCTACACCAGCATTAGCCTATGCGAGGTCGCAGAAGCGGCGACAACAGTTGACCGAATGGAAACTACGTGAGACTCGCGAGGCGAGAGCGAAACGTAGTGAGAGACGGCGAAGGGGTGTGCGAGACACGCCTTCGCGGGAAGTGACAGTTGAACGGGAAGTCATGCCCGTCAACAAGATCGAGACCACGAAGCGGACGGTCAAGTTTGCTGTATGAGCTGTCGAGGGGAAGTAATCGTAATTCCGGAGAAGTGTAATAAGGTGGGTAAGCCCAAACATGGATAATGACCATCTCACGATACTTATGATACGAGCCATGGGCAAGTACACGTTGGATTAGCGGCACGTTTGGAGTACGGTGTAACAAGGAATCCTTTCGGTTTACTATACGGTTAGCATCATTTTTCGGGCGTTTTGTTCACCCATAGCGTTAAGAAATCTACTCTCGATTACCTCTTACCGTTTTGCTGGGTGAATTGGCCGCAACATGACTATCGGGCACAGCGCGGCCTTGAAGATCGACCTCGGGAGTGTGCCTAGGTATCGAGCTCAAGCACGTGTCAACGCGAACCCCTGCGCGTCGTCCGGTCCTCATCTGTCGCATTTACTGAATAAGACTGAATACGCGAATTCGCAATGGATAATCACATGTGAATAATCCCTTACTCACATCGTCTTGTTGCACAAGTACAATGTTCTATTCAGGTGCTTATTCGTAGCTGCCGCTGGCTGATCCATGCCGCGTCACCATCATCACCGCTGCCGCGCCCTTCCATACCAACCTTCGTCCTTCGCACCACCATGACCTGCGACATGACTTGAACCTGACGACGCTTCTTCATTCCTCACACTTGATTTAGAGCATACATATAAGCGGCACGGCCTTTTTGAAGGAGTAAACATGATGACGCGATGGTTGCGCCTTGCCTCGGTGCTACCTTCTGCACTTGCTCTCACACCCAATGATCCGGCTCACCACGTAAAGCAGGTAGCAATCATAGGTGAGTCCATAACCCCCGAAAGATCTATCACAAATGCTGACTCCGAGAAGGTGCAGGTGCAGGTGGCTCATCCGCTGCATACCATCTCGCGCAATATGCCGCCGAAGCAGGCATCCCTACAAACATCACCGTCTTCGAACGCAACGACTTTGTCGGCGGCCGCACAACGACTGTGAACCCATGGAACGATCCGACGATATCCGTAGAGCTGGGCGGCAGCATCTTTGTACAGAGCAATCGAATAATGGTGAAAGCCAAGGAGGAATTCAACTTATCTACTGCTGGAGCACGAGATCTCGCAGCGCAAATGGAAATGCCTGATTTAGGCATTTGGAATGGACAGGAATTCGTCGTAGTGACGAAAGCTGGTGATACTTGGTGGGACAAGGCGAAGCTACTGTGGAGATATGGCGCTGCGCCGCTTTGGACCAACAGGCTGATGAAGAGTGCCGTGGGCAAGTTCTTCGAGATGTATGATGAACCGGTGTTTCCGTGGAAGAGCTTGAGTGACGCCGTCGAGCGTGTGGGCTTGTTGGAAGCCACTGGAGTGACAGGGGAACAGTACCTCAGGACGAATGGAATCGGGGAAGCGTTCTCCAGAGAGATTATCCAGGCCAGCACTCGGGTCAACTACGCCTCGAACTTGCCTTATATTCACGGATTGGAGACAATGGTTTGCATGGCAACAAATGGAGCAATGCAGATTGAAGGAGGCAACTGGCAGATCTTTGCGCACATGCTGAAAACCTCTCGCGCCAATGTCCACCTCAACACTTCTATCGCCCAGATCTCGAAGCAGCACGATGGCAGCTATGAAGTTACCACAAGTACCGGCCACACATCGGTCTTCGACGATGTCATCCTCGCATCCCCTCTTCAGTATTCGGATCTTGTTATCGAACCTGCGCCACAGCACATTCCCGATGAGATCCCCTATGCGAAACTGTACACTACACTATTCGCGTCGCCTTTCCGATTGGACCAAGAAGCTTTCAACCTTGGGCCTGAGACACCCGTACCGCAATACGTTCTTACCACGCTACCCCCGTCTGAGGTCCCGGTGGATGGTGTCGGGTCGCCCAATTTCTTCAGCATATCCATATCCGATGCTGGTATTAACCCAGGATCTTCCCCGCTTCGGTTGGAATACATCTACAAGATCTTCTCACCCGCCCGTGTGAACGCCACCTTCCTCTCGCGCGTCCTTGGCCAACATGTCTCGAACGAGGAAGCCGAACACGGGGACGTGAATGGCACGGTGAGCTGGATACACCACAAACTATGGTACTCATACCCACGGGAATACCCACGCATAACATTTGAGGAGATCAAGCTAGACGACGGACTGTGGTATACCAGCGGAATCGAGAGCTTTATCAGCACCATGGAGACGAGTGCATTGAGTGGGAAAAACGTTGCTAGACTGATCAGGGATGAATGGGTTGCCCAGGGCGTTGATGACAGTTATGCGAACGCTCGGAAAGATGGCACCGACGAAGAGCTGTATCAACAGGAGCTATGAGGATTGCGTCTTCCGAGCACTATGGCAAGCCACGTGGTTTGAACTTTAAAAGACTTGCATGAACATTGCTACGCGAGTCTGCCCCCATTACTGATTAAGCGGTCACTTCGGCGAGGTAGCAGCACAGACGCTACGCTTCAGGCTTGTTGGTATTCGGAAGAGCGGCATTAGTCTCTTGCTCTGCATTTGGCGAAGCTACTCTTCAGTCTAGCCACGTTTGACATCCTTGGGGGGATTCTTCGACACTGATTTGAGATGGCACGATCATTCCAGTCCAATCGGCTTGGATACCGTTGTGGAACATCTGGGACGCTAAGGAATTCGAGATCTCGAAGCTACGTCAACCACGTGAGATTAGCGAGGACCCGCCGTCTTGTTTAGCCCGGCGTGGAGTACTGGCCCTGGATAAATGGTTTTCGAGAATTCCTCCCTTGACATGCACGTCTTGCTTGATCACATCGATATCTCGCAAAGTACTAGATGCAATTCACGTTAATGCACTCTTCCCCTTCATTATGTTCATGAGCCCACTAGGCTAACAGCGAGCCATCCAATCAGACTTATATTGTGCTCGGATGTAAATGAGTCAAGGAAGCTAAGACTTCACCCGCAGTCTGACTTTCTGGCCTACGAGTGGCGTTGGCGTCAGGCGTGCTGTTCTACCCCTAGGAAGCGAAAGGCGATCCCCCGGACGTGCTTCCGTCGCAGTCATCAAACTTCCGAACCCAGCACTGACCGTTGTGCATACGAAGTACGACAGTCTCTTGGCCCCAACAGGATCAGAGGCCTGGCTAGCCAGGACTATGGGTACAAGGTTCGATGGCGCACTTTCCAGCCCCGACGCACTTGGGTGCGGATTCTGCGGTAAAGGGTCAATTGCACATGGGATTTCCTACTTCTCGCTGTAGTACCCAGAGCCGGGTTCGTGAGGTTGATCGTGGCCATTCTTTCTCATTTCATCATCCGTAATATTCTACCTTTTTTTTACTTCTCTCTTTCCTCATATCTGGTCACTTGGACGTGCAACAACCTTTTCTGGCGAGGCTAAAGATACGACACGATACCGAGACCATGGAAGGTCACGTCCTTGCCAACGCGCTGGTGCCGCGAGTGGGACAGATAATCAGTGTCATGCTGGAGATCATTACTTTTGGTGCACTAACTGTTTGTATAAGTAGGTTTCCAACTTCTAACGCTACTTCAAAAGAACGAGAATGCTAACAAGATGTGACAGTGCGACGAACTCAGTCCATCACGAAGTGGATGGCACTGCCTTTGGCCACGATATGTATGTGCAACCCAACGCACGCTCTCGGGGGATTTAGTGCGCATCATCCTAACAGAATGGACCAGTAATCATCATCATATATTGCGACTCGGCGTTGTTCGTTTTTGCCACAGCAATTATGCTTCACGGGGTTGGCATCAATTCCTCACCGCAGGCCTGTGAAAGCGGGGTCTTCTTGTGTAAGTCTACGATACCGGATTGCGTGAACCGGAGACTAATTCTTGCACAGGTTTGCTATGTTACATGACGACGAAGATCCTGACATACTATTTCCTTGTTGAGAAAGCTGTGAGTACAAGGCTCCTCTTTCTTCTCTTGTTCGAGCTGTTACTGATTGGTTTTAGTATGTCGTTCGGGGGAGTCAAAAGCCTCGCTTGAAGACTAAGCTGTGGCTTTTCAACTGCCTATTCATGCTACGTACGTTGCGACCAACAGGTCCAGAGAACCCGCGCTGATGATGCTAAAGTGCCGTATACCGTCTTGGTTGTCTTGAATTTCGTCTAGTAAGCCGCAAATTCCCACCCTTGCATCGAGAAAGAAGATCGAGTACTGACGCATCGTAGCCGAATAAGCTACATCGATGACGAGGGCGTATGCATTATTGGCATGCAGAGGATTGCCATGCTACCCTTGATCATTTTCGAGGTCGTTGTGAACGTACATCTCCCATTTTCCTACTCTGGTTCCTTCCGACACAGATGAAACTGACCGAACTCCAGATTTGCCTGACTGCTCTCTTCGTTGTTCCCCTCCGCAGTCTCTACTCGTATCAAAACAACACAAACCCTACACTCCGTCGGATAGCCAAGCGCTCGCTCATGGGCTCCCTCGCCACCCTCACCACGTCCGTCGTCAACCTGACCGTCCTCATGATACTGCAAGGTGAACCATCCTGGATCTGCTTCATCTGCTGCAACGCCGATATTCTGTTCTGTTCGCTGGTGCTACATTGGGTCACATCCAAAGACAAGACGATGATGACTACCGACGCAACGAGCGGTACGGGAGGCGAAAACATTGGTTCAAGACACGGCACAACATCACACCAAAGGCGGCAAAGCAAGTTGATATACGGAGACAACACAGAAGAAAAGCTGCGCAGTGAAATCATCACCATCAAGGGCATGGCCGACGTGTCGCCGACCGGCGGCAACAGCATCAGCATCAGCAGCAGCAGAACCAACAGCGGCGCAAACTCCCGAAGACCCAGCCTCAACGTTTTCCCTTGCTCAATCAACACACACAATCCACATCACAACAACCGTCCGCAGACTTCACCACGTTTAGTGCTTTCGAGCGTCACAACGGAATGCAAATCCTCGTCCCCGCCCAGCAAATTCCGCGCCCCAAGTCGCGGCATGTATCGCACACCCACACGAGAGGAGTTCGGGGATGAGGTCGAGTTGAACAATATCAGGGTGCAGACTATCCATACGAGGGAGGTGGAGATTGATGAGGAGGGGAGGGAGCGGACGGGCAGTGTGAGGAGTGAGGGAGATGAGTGGGTTGGTCATGAGCGGAGGGTCATTGGGGACGGTGTAGTTTGATCTTCAATGGATGTCGCCAGTGGCAAGCTTGCCTGGATGCTTTGGATGTCATGGCCGTTTGGTTTTATGCGTGTTTTATACCTCTTGTTTGGATGTTGTGGGCGGGGTTTGGAACGGCACGTGTATATAGTCGCATTTGATGCACTAGGAATGTCATCGGGCTCTTGGGATTCAAAAATGATACATCATGGATTACAAGACTGGTGGCGCAAAGACCCGAGATTTGTATTACTAACTAGTGAAACAGCAATAAGAAGATAAAACAATTAACTCCATAACATGTAGAGACCTTCATCAAAATATGCAGCTTCATCATCGTCCACCAAGCATGAACAACCAATGAAACTACCACAGCCTCAGCTCAGGCCGCAAATTTGACCCTCCTCTTCTTCACCCGCCCAGTCAATACTCTTTCCACATCGCGTTCTAGCTCCTGTGCATGTACCTCGTGACCGACAATATCTTGCATGTATGCCAACACGTCGTCGGTGACCTGCAAAGAAAGGCTGAGGAGGGCCAGAATGCTGCTGCGGAGTTTTGCAGCTGAGATCTTGTCTTCTGTATTGTCCTCTTCGATATGCGCTAGCGGCTCGTTATCGCTGTCCGTGTCGGGCACCGGCTCCTCGATGGATCTTGTAGATGTTCTGTCTTTGTGTTTGCGGGACGCCGTGGGAGACGCTGCATGGGCGTTTGCTGTCTGAATTGATATATTGTCGTCGTCTGGTAGAGTGATTGGACTTGTAGCTTTGCCTAGCTGTGACTCGTTCATGTGAGAGTCATTCCGCGTTCTTTTTCCATGAATGATGTTCTTGGGGTCCATTGGGTCGCTGGTGATGATTTTAGATAAATCGGGAGAATCATCCCGATGTCCCCAGCCCTTCATAAGCCGATTGCTTGTTGGTTTCGGGGCCGCCTTGCCCTTTATTGGAGGCTTTGTAACTTTTCGCTGGGTGTCGTTGTGAGGCGTAGCGCAGACTATCTTGCTGTGGCTGGACTTTGCCATGATGATGTGCGGTGTTCAATAGAATCGATCACTGAGATATGAACTTCAATTGAGAGAGTTAAGAAAGAAGGTTTTGTGCGTAAGTCATTGTTCGCTGGTGGATGGGTTTTGAAGATACTTGACTGTATGAGTCGAGCGAGGAGTGTGGAGCGGTACATGGGCGCTTCTGGGCACGAGTCTTTCCATTGTGTGACACCAACACAAGTCACGAGGCACTCTGACTGTTTACTAGCGGAACAGAAATGATTGCATGACTGTCATGGTGTGCGTCTGTCGTCGAACCCTGCAATGAAACCCCATCCACATTTGCACCGTGCTGCACAATTGTGCCATGGTAACGTGACATTGGTTTTCTTGTATACAAACTCCTTATTTCTTCGCGGCCGGTTTCGCAGGTGTCGACGCAGGCGCTTTCGCAGGTGGTGTCTTGGTGGCATCGGTCGGTTTTCCTGGCGGCTTGCCCTGGCTGCTGATAAGATCGAGAAGATGGTCTTCCGTCTGCTTGCCCTGTCCAGGAGTTAGCCAAAATATTCGTAGTATACTCTCTCAGCCTCCTTCTCATTGACGTACCTTCTCGGCATCAGTCTCAGCATCCCACCCTCGTCCGAACTTTGTTCTGAAAGCCGCCAATTTTCCAGCCTCATCCTCCTCGACATTCAGTAGTTTGTGTGAACTCGGATTCCATAGCGGAGAGTTCCGTTGGTCCTTTGCGCTCTTGTATACGGGCTGTGGATTTGTGGTTCGTAGGGTGAAGGAGCTGCCGTCAGAGAGGGTGACGAGTTGGGTGAAGGTGTAGGGTCGCTTGGGTCGGCGGAGAAGCGTCGCGTGTCGTACTTGGTTCGTCTGGCGTACTTGAGGCTGTATCGATTGTCGGAGGACGCGCAGTGCGCCCATTGAGGGTATTGGAGACGCCATAGTGACTTGTGCTGGGGTCGAGTGTTGAAGTTCGCGAGGAAAGTTGCGGCGAAGAGGCGGAGGTCAGCCTTGGCCGATCTAACATTTCCATCTTCAACCCGCGCACTTCGTCATTCGCACCGAATTGCCCTCCAACAGTCGCATCTTCTCGAAACATAGCGCGCTCCTGCCCCTCGGCGCATGAGGTCAAGCCGGAAGATTTTACTCTGAACATGGCGCTCTCGCAGCGCCCGGCTTCGCGCTTTTTCGCAGCCTTCTACAGATGGAATCAACATACTCGTTAGTACCTCAGTGCGCATTGGTACATATATACTGAATATCCTCTTAGAACGGTCAAGACCATGTGCAATTGCCTCTCAATACCCTCGTCGCGATACAAATCCCCGCAACGGCATCTGCGCCCCACGCTACTATAACACGACTCGTCTGCTGCAACAACAAAGTCACTCCCCGTCGCAATCGCATGAGGAAGAAGCGATAGGAGCTGGGGAGGAGAATTCAAAGATAACAGGAAGAGGAGGGGTACACATATTACGACCGGCAGAAAGTGTATCGGAGGATATAGCAAACACGCAGGAGCCCGTGGAAGAGCAAGATGCTGCCTTTGAGCTCTCTGAGGCGGAGCTGGGGGAAGAGCGACTCAAGAACTCGGTACGCAGAGTGATGCGTAACGTTCCGAGCTCGGTCGCAGTCCTCACGGTCAAAAGTATCGACCCCGATACTCAAAAACACGTTCCCATGGGCGTCGCCGTTTCTTCACTTAGCACCGTTACACTCGATCCGCCTACAATTTCCTTCAACATCAAACAACCGTCCAAGACCTTGGACGCTATCCGGGCAGCCAATGGCCTTTTTCGCGTTCATTACCCCTCCGCTGACAGAGGCGGTGCGAAAGTCGTCGATCTATTTTGTAGAGGGAACCATCCGGATGCCTACAATCTGCGATCAAAAGAGCTTAGACTCTATCAGCCTAAGCTCGATAAGCCTAGGCATCATTATGATCTTAGTAATATGCCTTCTCTTGCGCCGCAGGTATTGGGGGAACAAGTGTTGGCTGCGATGGAGTGCAAGGTCACCCATGAATTCCCCATCGCAGATCATGTTATCCTTGTCGCCAGAATCAACAGCATAGAGGAAAGGGCTTCCAAGGATCCAAGCATCATGTATATCAATGGTGGATACCGTAATCCTGCGGGCGAAAAGCTCTACACTCCTACAAGATCCACACAATCCGCAGCCGGTGAAGGCGTTTTCTCGGTATGGGATTATCCTTTGTTTCCCGGAGAAAGAGAAAGACAGGACTACATGGGGAAAATCAAGACCCTCATCAAAGACACCCCTGCCTTTTACGAAAAGCCATCTGCCGAGACCTTTAGGAACATCGAATCGAGTTTACCGTACGCTACAGGGAATTTCGGAATTGATCTAGAGATTCTTGTCGCGGAGTGCCGAAAAGAAATGGGTCTCCCTGCGCGCTTGCGTGCCGAAGCGGAAGGACGACAAGTCTTGAGTGACTTCTACGGGCCATTGACGCCGGCAATGAGGACACAGATTGTCGATCGAGCGAAAAGGCTCGTTGCGTTGGATGCGCGCTTTCTGTCTCAACATTACCGCACTCTCCTATACAGCTTGGGCGTCAACCCTAGTAGCAGAGATCTCCTACCAAGCGACATCATGGAGCCTCTACGAGCAGCAAACTTAGCACCACCTTTCGACCCCCGCCGAGGACATGTCAATGGCGGTATCGAGGATATCATAAAAGTGGAACAGCTTGAGTTCCACCTACGAGGTTATCTTCGGAACATGAAATACGAGGCTGCGTTGAAAATGCCCCTAGACGCGGCCATGGAAGCCATCAGTGAACGCAAATTAGCGGCTGTATATTTCAAAAAAGCACGAGCGCGCTTACTCACCCAGACCCATCCTCAACTATTCGATACTTCAGTCATCGACATCGCTGGCGAGGTGACACAAGTAGAAGCTCGTGTAGTTCTATGCCGCTTTATTAAAGCCCTACAGGTCGACTCTGAAGTGGGCCTTCGAAAGCACATCTTCCAAGACTGGCATGAGCTTTTGCGCCGAGTCGGCGTAAATCCTACCATCACGGGAGTGGATGTGGGCTTTCTTATGGGCAAGATCCAACATCTGTACTATTCGAACAAATCGTTCAGTGGGTTTTCTGGCGCCGTTGAAGAGATGCTGCGACCTTGGTTTGTTCAGCAAGTTAGCTGGGAAGACCTTGAGGAGCGCGTCAGAAGCTTTGTTCAGGAGACCCCACTGCGCGCTACAGGATGGTCAGGCAGAGACAGACTTGCCGCTATGGGCCTGCGCTGGGATGCCACAGTTGCGCTACCGAGCAACAATCCTTCTAAGCAGGCGGGTGAGAAACCGCTGAACCGAGGCGTTATTCTGGACACGCTCGTAGCAAAGGAGCTGAAGAGTTACTACGGCAGTGGCACTGAGGAAGAGAACCATGCCATCGCCAAGTACTTGAAGGAGACGTACAGCTTCGACATCACACACAGACCGATACAGTACGAACCCGCAGCGCCTACATATCAATCCTCGAGTGATGAGATGCAACAAGCTTTGAACGCAGCTCCGGTTACTGCTCGAGAAGAGGCACAATCTGAGCAGATCTTCTATACACCAGACAGCATAAGCTCTTCTCGCAGGGCAGGCGGGTCGCCAAAAGTTCGGCAGATAAAAGCAGATCGGTCGTTGAAGATTACACGGCCTACTTCAGAACCTCGTACCAAGCACGAAGGTAAAGGCAAGCAGCGCAAGGGTGGCCAAGGGTCGGCTGAGGGACGTTGGGGCACTTACTCTTTTATCGAAGGAAGGAATGAGTAACGTGTCATTGTATGTTCGGTATGTATACTAGAATTATCGTACATAATTCAGAGGAGACGAGGAATTCATATGCTTCAGGCCGAATTTCATCCTATTGCTTGTGTAGTACAAGGTCGTGATGTTGATGTTGATCTTGAGGGCGTGAATTTCAGAGCACGTGACTTCGGTCACGGATTAACCTTGGTCCGTGCAGCCTGAAGCTCGATCGCAATTTCCTAGTCGGAGCTTCCCCGCGAGTATCTTCGCGCCGCAGCAGCTATACCATATCCAATCGCCGATAGCATAATACCCATACAACTACTCCGAGTTATACTACTGCCCAGGTCGAAAAGCAGCAGTCATGAAGCTCGTCAGGTAGGCTAGCCCTCAACTTCTGCGAGACTTGCAACTAACGGCTTCGCGCAGGTTTCTTATGAAGTGCCAGAATGAGACGGTCACAGTCGAGCTCAAGAATGGTCAGTAAAGCCCATGCTTCCTTCTGTTTTCTACTCTCGTCGCGTTGTTGTCTGGCGACAGCAGCTCTGTTGCGAGCGCGTCTTCTTATGGTTGCGCAAGCACGCTTTTACATCGAAACCTTCAGCTACTTCCTGGAAACATGATCTGACAGGAGCGCAGGCACTATCGTAAACGGCACAATCACCTCCGTCTCACCGCTCATGAATGTCGCGCTCAGAGCCGTCAAGTACACGCCCAAGTCTCGCGACACCGTAGCCCTCGACACAATGACCGTCCGCGGTTCCACAATCCGTTACATCATCCTCCCCGATTCATTACCGCTCGACACACTTCTCATCGACGACGCGCCCAAGCCCAAGAACAAGGCAAGGAAAGAGGTCGGCGGTGGTGACCGTGGTGCAAGGGGCGGTGGCCGCGGAGGAGGCCGTGGACGTGGTGGAGGTGGTCGCGGAAGAGGCGGCGGTGGCAGGGGACGCGGACGGGGTTTCTAGGTGCAGAAAAAGACAACAGAGATTGAAGGCCAAGAAGATCACCCGCAGATGCGCATCACGGCGTCGCAAGAGGGCAGGGAATTGCGCTATGAAATTTGGAAGATTGAGATTATGGATTACTGCACACGACACCAAAGTTTGACGCGCAGTAGGATCATTGTTGGATCAGCTGCACGTACAGGAACAGTCCAACATGTGTGGCGGTCAAACACAAGGGTTGGTGCAAAGGTCGCGCCTCGAGAGAAGAATGATACCACATTGAATCGCAACACTTTACGGTCTTTT